GAATATATTTCTTTTTCCCATCAATTTGAACACAAAAGTATGAGTTCAAAAGTGACGAAGGAATAGTATCGAATACTCTCATTCCATGAAACTGAGATTTGTCACTAGCTGAAACAGAAGATACATCATCAGTTTCATCATCAGATGAACTATCATCGGCTGAATTCGTTGAAATATTAACATTAGATCTGAATTTATAGCTCGATTCATCATCATCAGATAAATAGGACTCAATGTCATCGTAGGAGACTTTTTTAAATTTCGTATTAAATTGAGCTCGTACTAACGAACTCACTTGAAGCATTGTAGTTTTTTTTGCTTTCTTCAAGGCAACATTTACATCAAGTCTAGAGAGCAGATCATAAGCATCATCAAATGCTTGACAAACTGTCTTTTTAATATTATCATAACTAAGAAGATCGACTGATGAGGTGGTAACTGATTTTCTCGAAGCAGCACGTTGCCGACATCGTTTGTGATGCTTCGGGAACTGTAAAGAACAGCTCAACTGACCAGATTCACTTTGATTTTGTATATCAGTAAGTACAGAAAGTTTACCAGCTCGTTTGAGAAATTGTTCAGTAGTGAAATTTACTACTGAAGAGAAAACTCCTGACATTGATCTTGTATTGCGAAAAGTAGCTTCGCAAGATTGTGAATGATAATTCGAAAACGCAAGAGCAGAAACAGGCAAATCTTGCTGGTGCACGAGTAGACAAATTGCAAGTAAACTATGAGCGTTCAGCTCAATAGAAAAATATGCCGGAACAGTAATAAATAAATTATCTTTTGACATTTCTGAATGAGATTCTAAAATGTCTTCTTCATCGACTATTTGCAGCCAGGTTTGCCATATACGGCATATAAAGACTGCTAACCAACTGTGATAGATGCGATCGATGATCGATGTATTATGCTCAATATAGGCTAGTACTATACTACGTAAGAGACGCAAGTAAATTCGTGTAGCTAGAGAACTATTAATGTCTTCAAGAGCATTAATTACGTCATCATCTGAAATCTTGAGACAAGACTTATAGTTTTGCCGATCGCTCGGCTCTATGTCAGTTTTGACGAGTCCATGTGCAAACTTTGATTTAGTCTCTATAAGTTCCATCAATACTGCGATGGAAACTTCTTCTTTTCCAATTAACAGCGATGCTGTTTTGGAAAGCATACGATTACGGAGTTTAGTACACAAGTGTATTGGATCTTGAAAACAAAAAAAAACTTGGCGAGTAGGCATAAAAAACCATGCTGACCAGTCTTTTGGTAAATCAATTTCTAATACATCATTACGATTATATATCGAAGTATTAGTAAGTTTTGCAAAAAAACCTGTAGCCAGTCGCATTGCTAGTAAATATCTAGGATCACAATCCGTAGAAAAAGCAACAATACGAACGTTTGCCTCCTGAGACTTTTCGAAAACCCACATCCATCGATTAAGAACATCGATGGTTTTGAACGTATTGTTGATTCCATATGCTGCCAGAAGGAATGGCGAGGTATATGGTTTAGATCCAATGAGCGGTTGTATCATGTGAACATTTAAGTAGTTTGACTTATCTTTATTCTCGAACCATCGTTTTAAGTCATCGAAAGAATCTGTCTTAAAGTAACCAGATATAGGAATACCATATTCTAGTGGAGTCGCGAACCCACCGAAACTGTTAGTAGCAGCATTATAACTGACTTTTTTTACGACGGCCGTCGAGTCCTCGGAACAAACGGCTATCTGATAGTCTAAAGAATTCTGATGATGATAAAGTGCACCATATCGAAAATCTGCTTCTGCAATGCACGCACCTGCTTTCTCAAGACTAACGTTTAAGGTGGACAATGATGGAAGTGCACCGGGCAGATTTAGTCGGACAAACTCATAGGAATTTCGTCCTCCTAAAATGTACAATGATTGTGCAAAATGTTGCACGATATCACTGTATCGATAATTATTTTTATTTTTTGAAAGATTATTGCAAATATTTTCAATGAAGGCTATCAAAAACGAATAACTATTTCCTGCATCATTACTTTTGTTGAATTGATATGAGTTTATTAAGGTCTTAAACAAAGAAAGAATATCATCAGATTGTCTATCTGTTTCTTTCTGTTGCTTCCTTTGATCGTTTATAGCATGAAGAGATTCAATAAAACGATCAAAATCCATACGCAATCCAGGTTTGAGCATTATAGTACCATCATCAAGATGAAGACATGCTCGTTGTGTTACTTTTTCTAATTCTCGATATTTTTTCTGAAAAACAGGTAGAATATCATTCTCAACCAAAAGCAGTTTATATACTGCATTGATTGAAAGTATTTTCATCAATTCTTTGAAAACTTCTCCACATGTCTGTTGAACCAGCTCAAAAAACTTTTCTCCCTCGAATGACAGAACATCATCAGGCAACACAAGAGGTGGAAATATTCTAACCATTATATCTTATCGTTGTATAAAAAAAAAAATGTTATAATAACCTGTTTTCGTTTAAAAAAATGAAATATAATCTTGTGCGAATTGAGATTGACAGTAAATAATGAACAAAAAAAATTACATATCGATATATATATATATATATATATATATATAGAGAGAGAGAGAGAGAGAGAGAGAGAGAGATAGAAACGAAAACGAGAGAAGAGAAAAATAGAGAAGCTGAACTTGTTATATTGTAAAAAAAAGAAAAAACAAAACTAATTCCAATTCCCTAGAAACGTATGTGAATTCGTTAGATTCAGCTTTTTTTTCTTTCGTAATTAGTCGACCGTTTGTAGTTCGTTAACCACGTGATGATCGTTGTATTCGTGAAATATAGCAAATGACTGTAGAAAAAAATTAAATGAATGCATGGAAAAAAGTAGTACGAACCGATGATGGACAATCATGGAACATACAAGTTATTCTTGATCAAAATCTCAAACTTTACATAGTTTATTGAAATAGAATGACAAATAATCTCTCTATATATCACCTATAAGTCTTATTTATTATTCATTGTATGAACTTTTTTATTTGTCCTAATTTTATTACAATAGAAAAGTATTATTAGTACACATAAAATATGCGAAAAACTTATAAAGACACACATGAATAAGAAAGTTTCTAGTTAATTTACAAAGTCTAACTAATAAAAGAACAAATTTTTTACAACTAGTTATAATTAAAAGTTTATTTTCTTAATCGTTTTCGTTTTGGTGATGTAGTACTTTCTGATGTTTCATCATCAGACAAATCGTGATCGTTGTTAATATTTGATTTATCATTAATATTATAGTTGATCATTTTCTTTTTCTTGATCATTGTACAGTTCTTAGATTTTATATGCTTGTAATAATTACTTAACGAAAAATTTTGACGAAGCTTTGTTAGATGTACCTTTGCACCACATGAACACAAGATGGTAGCTTCTTCAGATGAACCGTTCATAATAAGTAAAATTTTAAAATCTTCATTTTCGATTAAGGCCGTATTTGAAACGTTCACTTCTAGATAATGCTTCTCGTACCACTCATTCAATGTACGTATAATGAAATCGTGATGATTCAGTTTATTCATCATACCTAAATTAAAATACTCAATAAAAATTGATCTTTGTAGCTTTTGTCTATTCCTTAAATTTCATTATTGAACTAGAAAATGGTGAATCAGATCCAAGTTTATATGGTTTTTATAGTGCTCTTAAATGTTTTCAAATTGCAAGTATATTACGATTTGTAGCAAATAATTAACATTTCTAAGATTTGCTTACAGATATCCTAAACTGCTCTGTGAATTTAAAACAATAAAAAATAACCATGAAATCTTATTGATTCTTCAAGAAGTTTTATTCATAATGTATACGAATATTTTAAAAGCATATACTATCAGGGCCAATTGAATTTTCTTCCTTTATTTTTTTAAAATTTTATTATTATATTTCTTTCATTTTTTAACGTATTATATATAGAAAGAAAGCCCAGAACGCGCTGCATCTTTTGGTATAGTTAGGTTGAACATCATATATAGTTTAAATAATAAAAACCTTTAGTAGAAAAAAAAGTGACATTTTTTTAAATTCCAATATACATTCACATCTATTGCCCATTTTAAAGTAAAAAAAGGATGAGTATTTTCTGGATAATCTTTGATAGGTACAAGATATCATTCTGCGGTTTTCACCATTTGAAAGAGGAGATGAATCTACATTAAAGCCTATACTCAAGATTTTTCTAGCAAAATTTTCTAGAGTCTTTAACCAAAGGTTTAAAAAACTAACGCTTCAATAGGTTGATAAGGTGTGTTTTTTCTTAAAACATACATAAAAAATCAGTAGAATTTTAAAACCTTGGTTAAAGACTCTGGAAAAGTTTGCCAGAAAAATGTCAAATATAAGCTTTGATGCAGACTTATCTCTCCTTTCGAATGGTGAAAATAGCAGGACGATATCATGTACCTATCAAAGATTATCCAAAAAATACTCATCCTTTTTTTACTTTAAGATGGGTAATAGGTGTGAATGTACATTGCAATAAAAAAAAAAATGTCACTTTTTTTCTATTAAAGATTTTTATTGTTTTAACTGTATCTGATGTTCAACCTAAATATACCAAAAGATGCAGCGCGTTCGGGACTTTCTTTCTATATATTATAGGTTAAAAAATGAAAGAAACATTATAATAAAATTTAAAAAAAAACAAAGAAGGGAAATTCAACTGGCTTCCATAGTAAATCAATGTTCGACAAAACGAGTTCGGAAATTCACATTTCCGAGTCTGTCCATTACAAAACTGTTCCTAATCAAGACTTGCAGCTAGTCCTAGATAATATCTGCACTTTTTAATATTTTACCATTATAACCAAACAAAGACTCAATATTACTTTCAGTGTTAAATATCTTTCAGAAATACATTCAAATTAAAAACAACAAATAATGTATAGTTTTGTCTTTTATATCACGCATATTTAGCAACAATATAATCCTTCAACAATAGAAAAAAAATCCAAGTTAAGTTAAAAACTAACCTAATGTTCCTGTATACTGTTGATGAGTAGCAGATGTTGGAGCAGTTTCAGATGGATCTTGCGAAAGATTTGTAGTTGTATCATTATTTTGGGGTAATTGTGATTGTTTATTTCCTTTAGATTTATGTGTAATTTTTTTCAAATGTTCTTCGTGTTTTTGGGAGAGAAGTTGATATAAATATCGGATGTTACTTCGACAGCCTGGTTTAACTGTAAATGTATTATCATCACCTTTGAGACAGATTGACTTTTTAATGTTGTTTAGAGCAGAACATTGAATAAAAAGAACATGGAATACATCTTCAGTATTAAGAAAAGAATACACACTTCGAATGCCTTGGGCTTCTAACAACTTTGCTTCGGCTGGCCCTGCTATTATTTCGACCAGCCGATAAAAACTATCATCATAAAGTGAAAGAACATCGGTTGGTAACACGGATGTGTCAACAGAGAGTATTTCGAAAGGCATTACTGAACAGCAAATTCAAGATGAAAAGAATTACAATCAATATATAAAAATAATGAGTTTAGGTTAAAAACGTTGGAAATGAGATGAGAGATAACTGCTCTTCTGTAAGATTATACCCGAAAAATAAAATCATACAGTGCTCACTTTCTATTCATCGAAGATGTTTGATATTCGCCATCTTGAAGAATATAACTCTTATAACTCTTCTTTCATATGAATTTTCGTTTTACTTTTTTTAAATATATCAAAGTTCAAGTAAAGTACTAACCGCACAAGAAAAACCATCTGTTGTTCAATATTTATTTTAGACATTGCGACAATACTTCTACATCTTGATTTAGGATCTATCTGATAGATGTTTTCCACATATTAACATATTTTTCTCTATGAAATTAAGTTCAAAGCACTAACCAAATGAAAATATACCTTGTTTTATGTGACACAGATTTATATCTTTGTTGCCTTCTATGTATGTTCCTAGTAGGCTTTTGTAAATATCATCGTACTCCCGGGATTCCCATTGTACTCCCGGGATCCCCATTGTACTCCCGGGATTTCCATTGTACTCCCAGGATTTCCATTGTACTCCCAGGATTTCCGTTGTACTCCCGGGATTTCTATTGTACTCCCGGGATTTTCATTGTACTCCCAGGATTCCCTTTGTACTCCCGGGATTTTCACTGGATTTTTAGGGATTCGGAATCCCAAAAATCCGCCGTTTCCCCCTAGGATATTTCGGTCTCTAACAAGGTATATATGAATCAATCGAATTTCAGAGTTTTGATCTGAAACTTTGTCCATGAATAGTTCTCATGGCTATTAGAATATCCTAAAAATTTCAGCTAAAAGGAATGTTTTCTAAACGATCGTATGTCACGAGCAAAGATCAGAAAACCGGATTCTTCAAAATATGTGAAATTTGCATTCTCCATTATAAAAACAATTAGAAAAAAAACATTCATAATCGGTGAATTTTTATTGTTTCGCTGTTATTTGTTCGTTTATTGCTAATAATATTTGAAAAACATGCATTCTTAGTACTTGATAAACGAAAGAAACTAATTTTAAGATTTTTCAATATGATAGAATATTTGAAGTGAAACACAAGCAAACAAAACAAAAGAAATAAAGAAGATATTGGTTTTTCGATAGACAATGTACTGAAAAAACTATCTAGATGGTTAGAGAAAATAATTTTATCTTGAAAACAGCTATAATTTGTCATGTTCTAACCATTTTTATGAGGGAATGGTAAATTCCGCTTTCCTGGAAATTCAAATTTGACTGCACCTCAAGTGCAGAATGATTTCAAGAAGGGTATGCTATGGGTTGGGTTGGGTTGGGTTGAGATTGTATGGGATGGGATGGGTTGGGTGTGGATGTGGGTGTTGTTTTCTTTTAAGTCACACCCCACACCCACACCTACACCCACACCCACACCCACACCCACAACTACACCTACACCCACACCCAGACCCACACCTACACCCACACCCACACCCACACCCACACCCACACCTAAACCCACACCCACACCCACACCTAAACCCACACCCACACCCACACCTAAACCCACACCCACACCCACACCTAAACCCACACCCACACCCACACCTAAACCCACACCCACACCCACGCCTACACCCACACCCACACCTACACCCACACCCACACCAACACCCACCCCCACCCACACCCACACCCCCACCCCACACCCACACCC